ATAAAACCGACTTGAGGACGAATTCATCAAAGTACCACAGTGGTTTGGTTAACCTATCATATTTGAGATATTCACCTGCTTCAAGGACAACATAATCCCTGTCTTCGATTCTTTTCATTCTTGTCTCCATTTTGGAAAGGACATCACCCTCCTTGTTTTCAGCAAATCAAGGAAGGTAGCGTCCAGGCCCCGTATTTCCATCTCTACTTCAGCGTAATGGTTAAGAGGGGCTAACGACTTTTTCTTGTCCATTGATTGTGCCTCTGAAATCATCTTAAAGGCCTGAAATATACGTAAATATAAAATGGATTAAGAAGCATAGGAGTACATTTAGACTAATTGTTATATTCATGCTAGAACAGAAGAAATAGAACATTATCCCTGGCCAGTTCTCAATCAATTCAAGAAGGTTGTTTTGGGCTTGTTAAAATGTAGTGCCGAGTTTCAGGTGTTATTATATAAGTTCCATTCCTTATTTCTATTCCCAACTAAGAAACGACAAGTATATGCTGTGCAGTTCGAACTGTGAGCCGAGTGTTTGATGCCGTTGGTGTGAGTACAGAAATACGAGCTCAAGTATGTAATTAGATATGACAAGGCCCATCGAAGCATAGTTTGCAACTCTTGGATTAGGCAAACTTGCATTCGCCTGATACGAAAACCTGAAAAACCCATAAGGGAAAATGGGAACGTATTCCCGTCTAAATGCTGGTTGACTGACCTTTGAGGGTTAAAAGGTATAGTAACCAATTAATATGCATCCCCAGGAAACAGTGTGACTACTTGCTAGTTCCATGTAACATTCGAAGCGATCCAAAGAAATCGTCAACAAGGGTTGAACGAGCGAAGATGTCCCGAACCAATCAAAAGCCACGAGCGAGGAATATCGGGTAAAATGCTACTGCAAAATGTACCGTGAACCGATGAAATGACGCCTCTGATTAGTGATAGTACAGTTACGAATGGGATAAGTTTGGCCCATCATACCTCAAACAAGGAGGGGGACATATCTCTTTTAATTTGTTATATTTTCTGAAGCAGATATTGTTAAGAAACATTTAAGGGAAACTGTTCGATACCATTTTTGTGTGGCTTACACTAATTGTTAACCACGCTATGTCCTGATCCTAGACATTTATTCCGGGATTTGTCACGGTGAACAGAGGGCTTCTCACTTAGTTTACTATCGTCGAGGATAGGTCAGTCTACGCTCGTCTCAGCTACGTAATTTTCACAGCTTCAGAAAGCGACCAGTTTGTATTTATGGGTGCAACACGTTGTCGAAGATTGTTTTTTATTTAGTTATTCGTTCATTTTTGTTGCTGGGATGTCAAACGTCGGCTTTCCTACAGTCGGCTTGTCTTCTAAGTGCAGATTACTGCTAGGAGTATTTTATTTACCAACATTGAAACAAGTTGTTGGACGATACAAAATGTGGAATGAAGAACTGTTTTGATTTACCCAATTTATTAACCGCTAAAATTCACGTGAATTAGTTGCTGTCACGTGTCACGTAAGTCTTTTACCGGAACGTCTTTCATTCTGATATTGTGTTCATACCACATGCTCAGTTA